AAAAAAGTAAGATTAAAAAGTCTTTATTTCGTTCGGTTACATCAGTGTGTATGTTTAATGATTATAAAACAATTAAAAGAGCCTTAGAATCAATTTACAATAAAGTGATGCCTGATCATAAACTCGGAAAGGTTGCTACAGAAACAAATGTAACCATTACTTTCAGTATGCGCTCTTTGAGAGCCTAGATATAACCAGTGATCTTGACAGATGGATGTAAAATCGTCATTATCCCCATTTTTTTTTCATTTTACAACAACAGTTGAGAAGTGCATGTATGAATGTAATCTGCTTGTTCATCGGATAACAATGTATAAGGTTTTCCTGCTTGGGCACTTCTTTGCCTTCAGAAATACCAAGTTTCCAAATTTAAAGATAAAATACATCAGGATTCCTTGTGAGACATATTTAGAGTCCTTGCACCATTCCCCTCAAACACTAACAAAAAACAAGAGGCCCATGGGCCACAACACTCACCTGAATAACTTTGGCCATGCTGTTCTTCACCAAACGATCTTTTTGTAATACCTATTGTGGCCCCACCCTACCCACTGGGGTCATGATTTTAAAAATTTAAAATCTACACTACCCCAGGATGTTTCCATATAAGTTTCAGCTTTACTGGCCAAGCGGTTCTTGAGGGAATTTTAAAAGATTTTTCCTACATATTTCAATGTAAAACTTGGATTCCCTATTGTGGCCCTGCCCTACCCCCAGGGGTCAAGATTTGAATAATTTAGAATTTACGCTGCCCCAGGATGCTTCTACAAAAGTCAGCTTTTCTGACCAAGTGGTTCTATATCTTTCAATATAAAAATTGGATTCCCTATTGTGGCCGCGCCCTGCCCCCGGGGGTCATAATTTTGAAAATTGAAAATTTACACTACCCAAGGATGCTTCCACATAAGTTTCAGCTTTTCTGGCCCAGTGGTTCTTGAGAAGAAGATTTTTTAAGATTTGTTCTATATATTTCAATGTAAAACTTGGATTCCCTATTGTGGCCCCGCCCTTCCCCCGGGGGTCATGATTTTAACAATTTAGAATCGACATTACCCCAGAATGCTTCCACATAAGTTTCAGCTTTTCTGGCTCAGTGGTTCTTGAGAAGAAGATTTGTTCTATATATTTCAATGTAAAACTTGGATTCCCTATTGTGGCCCCGCCCTTCCCCAGGGGGTCATGATTTTAACAATTTAATATTTACACTACCCCAGAATGCTTCCACATAAGTTTCAGCTTTTCTGGCCCAGTGGTTCTTGAGAAGAAGATTTTTAAAGATTTTTTCTATATATTTCAATGTAAAACTTGGATTCCCTATTGTGGCCCCGCCCTTCCCCAGGGGGTCATGATTTAAACAATTTAGAATCTACATTACCCCAGAATGCTTCCACATAAGTTTCAGCTTTTCTGGCCCAGTGGTTCTTGAGAAGAAGATTTTTAAAGATTTTTTCTATATATTTCAATGTAAAACTTGGATTCCCTATTGTGGCCCCGCCCTTCCCCCGGGGGTCATGATTTTAACAATTTAGAATCTACATTACCCCAGAATGCTTCCACATAAGTTTCAGCTTTTCTGGACCAGTGGTTCTTGAGAAGAAGATTTTTAAAGATTTTTTTCAATATATTTCAATGTAAAACTTGGATTCCCTATTGTGGCCCCGCCCTTCCCCAGGGGGTTTTTAACAATTTAGAATTTACACTACCCCAGAATGCTTCCACATAAGTTTCAGCTTTTCTGGACCAGTGGTTCTTGAGAAGAAGATATTTAAAGATTTTTTCTGTATATTTCAATGTAAAACTTGGATTCCCTATTGTGGCCCCGCCCTTCCCCCAGGGGTCATGATTTTAACAATTAAGAATTTACACTTCCCCAGAATGCTTCCACATAAGTTTCAGCTTTTCTGGCCCAGTGGTTCTTGAGAAGAAGATTTTTAAAGATTTTTTCTATATATTTCAATGTAAAACTTGGATTCCCTATTGTGGCCCCGCCCTTCCCCAGGGGGTCATGATTTAAACAATTTAGAATCTACATTACCCCAGAATGCTTCCACATAAGTTTCAGCTTTTCTGGCCCAGTGGTTCTTGAGAAGAAGATTTTTAAAGATTTTTTCTATATATTTCAATGTAAAACTTGGATTCCCTATTGTGGCCCCGCCCTTCCCCCGGGGGTCATGATTTTAACAATTTAGAATCTACATTACCCCAGAATGCTTCCACATAAGTTTCAGCTTTTCTGGACCAGTGGTTCTTGAGAAGAAGATTTTTTAATGACAGCACCCTATTTTTGTCTTTTCTTGATTATCTCCCCTTGTAAGGGAGTTTGGCCCTTTATTTTAACAATTTAAACTCCCCCTCACTCAAGGATGCTTTCTATCAAATTTGGTTAAAATTGGCCCAGTGGTTCTTGAGAAGAAGTTGAAAATGTGAAAAGTTTACAGACAGATGGACGGACGACAGACAACAGGTGATCAGAAAAGCTCACTTGAGCTTTCAGCTCAGGTGAGCTAAAAAGGATATAAAACATTACCCCTAACCACAGATAAATGTTTTAACTCTTGATGTTTGCAGTTTGTCATTTTTTTTTTTTAACTTTTCTTCCAGATTATGTCAGATCTATGTATATTATGTATTGCTATAGATGCCTGTGTACATATAAATGTTCACTTTTATTTTGTAATGCAAAATCGAAAATTGTAGGTAAATTGTAGGCAGTCAATGCTCATCTAATGCACTGCAGCACATACAATTTAACATTACACATGATAATATACTAGTATTTTGTAAATATTAAACAAAATTCTGCTGCATATTTTAGTCTTTTATCATCTATCTACAATCATTTCATCAGAGGACTACCTATTATAACTTCCACAGATAACTACCAAAAGACCATTACAGAGAAAAACGAACATTGTTCACAGGCATATTTAAATCAAAGATTTGGGGTGGGGTGGGGTGTAAATGTAAGGGGTAGGGGGTTACAAATGTCAATGCCAATATTATTTGTACATTCAGACCCTGTACTCCCAATGAAAAGGACTCGCACAGCATTAATTCTGATCCTTGTTCTATAAAAAAAATAAATACCTGTGTTTTATCAGTTTTTTAATTCAACAAAACTGGAAAGAAAGACTCTATACTTGAAAACATTTACTCTGCTGATTACCTCAGTTTCATTCAAATCATATCAATGCAAATCAATAACAGCTAATTTAAAAATGATTATAATAATACTACCAGTAAAAATATCTTTAGAATGAATACAAAATATCTACCGTTTAAAAGAAATCTAATTTTAGAACAATTTTTTGAAAATAAACTCTTAAAAACATATTTAAAACTAATTTTTAAAATCCCTTTTGAAATAATAAGTAAGAAAACCAAACCAAAACAGTTACTAAAAACTACAACCCAGACATAACAACATGGCAAACAAAATATAAACCTTTATATTTTTAAACACATATTCTCAATATTTACCATATTGTTAACAATTTCTCACCTGCATACAATACAATGTAATACTGAGTTTTTAGCTATATACAGTTAGTCAATAGCACTACACAATGGATTTTTTTTTTGCAGTCTTGTGTTTCAGCAAATTCATAATTAATGTTAAAATACATTCATTTGACTAATGACTAGTAACACAAAATATTATCTAAGACAATTATTTAGGGCTATTCCAGGAAAAATTGTATGGGGGGGTTGGGGGGTTGGAAGGCACTTTTATTTTTACCCCACCACCCATACATTTTTAATTACCTTCTACCCCACCCCCCATCAATTTAAAATTGCTTTTGATACAACCACCCATTTAAATTTAAAAAAAAAAATTGTGTCACACATATATATGCAATAAAATTTTATGTACTTTTTTCAGGTATTGTAATTTATCTGACTTCGAATGAGTGTTGGGATTTGACATCTATCCAACCAGGGCCCATTTTACAAAAGAACTTATGACTAAGATCCAAATGTTATTATGCAAATAAATTTCTTTTTTGCATTACTTTAAAAATGTTTTAAATCTTTTTGAAAAAAAAAATAAGATAGTTTTATGCCAACAATTTTTAACAAAAACATAAGTTTTGTAAGATTTTATGAACAACTAAATTTTTTAGTCTTAGTAATAAGTTTTTTTGTAAAACAGTTCCCTGTGTTCCTGCTACAGCTTAAAAAGATATGTTCCTTTAGGCCTATGATACACACCACTGAAAGCCTTTATTATAGTGATTTGTATATCTGTTCTGATACATGACTTTGTAGTCTGTAAAGCTTAGGTAAAGCTTTTACAAGTATGTATACACATGTACTAGTAGAAATGACATTCCTACAATTAATTAAATATTGTAAATTATAGCCTAGCTATCCTTAACAATTGTTGTTCACCTTGTTCATAACAAAATGATTCCTGTTTTTTTTTTTTTTTTTTTTTTTGGGGGGGGGGGGGGACTAAACTTCTGTAGGCAGTGTCTGTGAAGTGAAAACTTTGATTAAAAAAAATATATTTAAAGAATTCTAAATCCCATTTAACAACTTAGACCATTGGTACATTCAAGTTCGACAAGTTAACACTTAACAGGTTAAGGACTGGCATGTTTTTGACATAATATATTTCATATTGTTTTCAAACTCATATCTCATCTTCCTTTTACTCTGTATGTGGTATAAAGTAAAATATTTGACTTGCAAACTCCGTAGTCATGCTCTAAAACGTTCATTATCAGATACGTTTTTTTCTACTTTCGGTTTAAAATAAAACGATCTTTCTGATTGTTTCTAATATCATTTAATTTACCAATGTAATCATGTTTAATTAAACTGGCGAAAAGAAACTGGACCAGTGAGTCCAAAGCACAACTAATCCGTTTTCCAACCCCCCACTGTCATTGCAGTCACAGTTGCACATGCTTTTATAGTTATCTGCCCTTGTTTCCGTTTTGTTCGATTCTACTTTCACTTTCAATGTAAACACACTTAACAACTGTTTAGGACGAAAATATCAGTATTCACTGATTTATACAAAATGAGAGGAAAGAAGTACTTTGCACTTGATTATTTGTGAGGGTAAATACAACCACCCATCTAAAAATATATCGAGTGAGGACAACCACCCTTACAAATTTAATTGCTCCAGACCCACTACCCATACAAAAATATATGAAGTGCCGTCCAACCCTCCCATACATTTTTTCCTGGAATAGCCCTTATGAAACATTCTATATTCATAATTCAAAACACTCCAATATCATGATAAATCACAAGAATGACAAATGTCCTGCATAATTCATATAACTGTTTGAAGAATTTAAGTATCATTCATAACTGTACAAAGATATATCCCTTTATCAAAAGATTTTATCCTTCATGATACATGATAAAAAAAAACCCACATGTATGTCACAGTCTATCAAAAAATGACTCCAAGCCAAATTTTATAAATGCATGTTTCCATTAGTAAAGTCAAAGACCTCAATCATATTATATCGAACCCCTGAAATCTCAGTCCCAAAGTGAAGGAATTCATGTTCTACCAAGTAGATGAATACACCTAACAGTAACTCAACACATCACTACTCCCCATTCTGTCTTTATGTTCCAGTAGCTGAAGCTGTTTGCTCCCCTTTAATCACAGTTCATGTCCTCTCCCATTCTGTGTACCCCCTTCAGCTGTAGCTATTTGTCCCCTCCTTCAATCACAGTTCATGTCCTCCTCCCCACAGCTCCCCCTCTGTCTCCTCCAAACACACACCAGATTGTTGTCTGTCCCACATGCAATATACTCCTTATCATAGCTGGCACAGGCACTGTTCACAACAACAGTCTGAAACAGAGAAAACAAAAATATAGACAACTGTACATGCATAAAGGAAGCTAATAATTATTTTTCAAGAGTTCTCTTTGTACATGAACTCAAAAAGTTGAGCACATTGAGCATATAATTGTTAATCTTGATTGGTTACTTCCTTAACAACATAAAAATGTCCTGCTGCCAATTAAATCAAAACGGTTTTAACCTACTAACAAGATGTAAAAGTCCCAAAATAAAAATACATCTGTACTCTTAAAGGGTACAAACTATAGTTTATATGCAATTTTACTACATGTACATGTATATGTTTTTGAATGAAGGTACCACAAAGAACTGAAAGGGCATGACAATGAACATCCATCACAATAAACTTTACAGCTTCATAGCACTGTTTGTCATCAATCTCATTTTATAGGATTTACCATTTCAATGATATCATTTCAACTGATGTATAGGATGTCACTTTCATAATATGACATACCCATGAAATTATTTTCCAACACACCCTTAAATATTGAACAGTTCACAAAAATTGGCCACCACTGGCTTAAAAATGATGTACAGTAATATTAAAAGTTAATACTAGATTTATAAATCAAATGTACCTCTTTCTGACAGAATGGCTTCATAGGTCCATCAGAAATCTCAGGCCACTCTAAAACCTGCAACAAAAAAAAAACCTTTATTATTTGACATAAAAGAAAGCACAAAGCTAGAAAATAGATAAGGTAGTAAAAGACAGCTATCTCAAAGAATAAGTTTGAGTTATCTCATAAAATCAACCTATAAAGTCTACAAAAAAAAAACAAAAAAAAACAAAAAAAAAAACAAACAAACAAACAAAAAAAGGACTGCATAATATGGTTAAGTTGAGATAACATGTACATGTAACTGATATTGTTAATTTACCATGAGAAAACTGATACATTTCATATAGGCGCCATTTTGAGTTTTGAACCAGTAAAGATATTTCCTTGAGACTTCTGATCAATATCAACTGAGATAATTTTATCTTATGTTAAATTAGAGTAACGTATCAAAACTTGAAAATATTCGATGCATGTTGTTTAAGATTTATTAGAAACTTTCAGTTCTTGAGACATACCCTTGAGGGCTGCAGGATGTCATCACATGGCTTTGACTTCCTGCTGGTCACCTTTCCCACATTGTACAGTCTCAGTTTACCATCATCATCTCCTACCACCATCATTTCTGAAGAAAAAAAACCCATTATATTATCACATGACAAAATGACACTTGGTGCTGTGTCCTTCAAGCCCCAGTAATTTGACTATGCCCAAGCTTTTCAACTGAAATTGGATCTATTCCTTGGATTTTGTGTATTCTACTGAGTTTAAGATAAATGTGATATGTTTGACTGTATCTGGATGAAATACTGGAAATATCTTTTAAATCCACTTGCGTTAAACTCGCCCAATATGAAAAGTTTTTCCTAAACATGCTATTGTACTATTGATGAAGGTGAATAAAATTCCTACCAAAATCTTGCTTTTCTCTTTGATGTTATTTCATACATTTTTAAAACTGACTGACATATATCCAACTTGACCATATGACATATGTTCACCATGTATGACATGTTCACCATGTAAATACATGTTCCTACCTTTGGTTGCCCCGATGTTGATGTAGTCAACAGTCTGTCTTGTATAGTGGAGTAGAGCGGTTGGTTTGACCCCTATGGATTTTGTGCTGGTCTTGACCTTGCTTTTATCTGAGATAGACGTGACCTTGGAGGGTAGTTGATCTTTGACATTCCATACACTGATGATGTCATCTCCCACACATTTTGTCACTGCAAACAAAATCAAAACAATCTGAATTTAACTCAATATAACTTACAAGTAAGAGATGTATTTTGGACATTTAATTTATAAATATATTTATAAAGCCATACAATTGGGAGAAAGCTTAAATAGGTCTTGCCAACTGTTCAATCTCATATACTTTTTTTAAATTTTTAATTTCAAAAGCAATATTTCTCCAAGTTTTAATTCAAAACATTATCATATTTTGGGAAGCATATCCTGTTTAACTTTGACATCATTCCAAAATAAATAATTCAAAATGATTGATTTTTAAGAGTACTTATGCATTTTTCTGAAGTAGTAAAACACATGCTTGACAATGAAAAGCCTACAATTATTTAAGAGTAAAATTTAACATTCTTTTCATATGTCACATACCAACATATCCATTCTGTAGAGCTGCAAGCCCATCCACTGTCTCCCTCTGTGTAGTGACGTTACTCTCAGTATCACTGGACACTGTGGGTAGGTAAAACTGGTAATCAGGGGTCCTGAAAATCATTATACTGCAAATTTAGCTATGATTCTTAATAACCAAAGATGTAAATTAATAATATAAAAATAATTGATTTAATTAGAACATTTTCTTTGACAGATCAATATAGTCAACAGGTAATCATTCTTCACTATCACATAGATGAAGATTCATTAACATTCCTGGATTCTTGTCAATTTTTTTTCCAGTTCTGAAAGCACTGTTGCTATAGTGTATTTTCATAATGTACATTGTAATTTAGATAAACCAACATTGCTACTCTTATTTTCAACATTTTAGACTAATACCTAGATAATTTGTCCACATTGTCTGCCTTCCATCCAAAACAGGAGTCTTCACATCCTGCCAGCAGGGTCTGACTGGGCATGCTCAGTACCAGGTTCAGAGCATCAGTGTCTGGGGCCTGGAGTACATGTAATTTCCTGTAAGAGATTTTTGGAGAAATTGTTATCCTTTAATGTGACAAACAAGAATCTGTGAGAATGGGCAATTGGTGAATTGAGAATGCGTAGTTTACCAAATTTCATGAACATACTCATAAATTTTCAATGTTTTTGTCCAATGTTAATTTATTCAAGAAAATAATGAATGAATTTGATAGATGAATTGTACAGTATTTCAGAATTCAATATCTCTGATAACATACTTGAACAGCACAGTGTAGTCCCTCATATCAGGAATTCCTATGTCCCAAACAATAATCTTCCTGTCATTACTTCCACCTAAATAAGAAAAACAAATTCCGAATTTAAGAAGCTGTATACTAAATGTGAATTTATTTACTAAAACCTTCAAAGAAGAATGGCCATGGAAAAAGTGTCAAAATTAAAGTTAAAATACCAGAAATGGGTAGATCATTAAACTTTAAGCACATTTATGGAAGCAACACTTACTAAAAAGAATTGTTGGCTGTTTGGGGTGAAAGGTTAAACAGCTGATATATTTTCTGTGACCTTCAAGTGTGGCATACATCATAAACTGGGAGGGGTGGATCAACTTGATGTCTGCACTCTGACCTGTGAAATGGGAAAAAATATCAGTGAGTTTAATACATAATGTTACTTTAGAACTTTTTCAACAGTCATAAAATGAGCCAGCATCATGATAACTCAAATCAAAAACATCTCACTACGGACTTTTAAGCTCATTGTTAAACTATACAGTTAAAACTATACAGTTAAAACCTACGAGGGGTTATCAAAAAGTTCGTGGACTGATGCGATAAAATTAATACTATGTAGTCTGTGCTTATAAAATTTATGAAAATCATAAATCAACAAAAGTTTAAGAAATGTTGAACATTTTAGCTTAATAAGTTGATAATTTGCCAAATTATTCTAAATTAAAAAAGACATTGTGTAATCATCCGGCGCAGTCGCCGTTTAGTTTCATGACGTCCGACAACGTCATTGTTTCTCATTGTTTCTCAATGTCCACTCCGTCTACCTTATACACTTATCTTGATGTGATTACCTGGAGTTAAGTAAGGACTTTAGCCCGTCTTGTTTATGTGACTTTACAATGTCATGAACAGCTGCTTTCATTGCATATAATATTGTAAATGTATCTATATATAAGGAAAGATCCTCACTTGATTATGTCAGAATACTTAGCTTGTTGGAGTTCAACTTTTACCAAACATGATCAACGTCACTTTTCGACGTGACTGATTTTTGACACCCTGACTACAAATTGACTTTAACTGTGCATCTTTCAACTCTCTGAATCTTTTTGGGTATTTAAAATGAGTACTCTGGGTGTATCTTATTTTTCTGTAGCCGATTTAAACATTTTCTAGGTCTATACCAGTTTTTCCAGGTGCGAAACTTTAAAGAATGTTGGAAACAGAAACCCCTCCCTCTTTTTGACGCCATTTTCAAGTTCTTAATTGTTTGGATACTCCATATAAAATTTACGATAAAATTTCATAGAATTTACAGAATGGGGTAAAAATTGAAAATTTTACGGAACAATTGTGTTGTATCATATGCCTGAATTAACCGGATTTTTGGACGACAAATGCTCATATCAAAAGAGTTTTTCTCAGTTACACCGAGGTAGAAAAAACGTCATATTTGAGGTTGCGCCGCTTGGACATACCATTGCTTACAAAAACATTTACAATTTGTTAAAAAAAATATTTTATGATTTACGGTTTATTCTATAGATAGAAAAGATAATGCTAGCTAAATGTATTAAAATTCATTGGTGTATTTAAAGCGGTTTTAATTTTATGGCGCTAGTCCACGAACTTTTTGATAACCCCTCGTAGATGTGTCCAAATGATGTGGATGCTCAACTTATATCAAAAATCTCTTTTTACATTCAGAGGTTACAGTGAGATTTGAGAGTTTAAAATATTATTGAACAGAAACCAAAGTTCTTTCTTTCAGTACAAAAACTGTGCCCTTTTACCTCATAATCATAAAACAAATATTATGCAAAACAAGATGCAAATATGAACACCCTAAATATTTTATCATTATATTTTTTTAACAAAGGGAGGTGGGAGTATAACAGATAATTTATGAATGGTTATTGATAATCTATTCCCTTATTTAAAACGACGGGCACACAAACAAAATATTCAATTCCATTTAATTTTAAAAACTAGAAGCACAAGAACTGATTTCTCAGTGCTGTACCTGCTACTGCTAGTAGATTTGTCTTCTCTTGTTTGTTGTTCTCCAGACGAACTGTGGTCCACGCCAGAGTGTAGAAGCACTGTGAGAAAGAAAATGGGAGTTGTCTAACACTATGCATATGGTGGTTAGTGTTTGTACACCTACGTGAGGTATTCTTGAAAAAATCTAATCATGTATTCAGATCAGCAGTTAAATGCTTTGTGGGTCAGATATTCTGAGTTTTGAATAAATTTTAATATGAATATTTTGCAAACATGTAATCCTACCTCGTGTTTGTTGTCATCTTTATAGCGTTTCATCACCTTTCCTGTGTTACAGTCCGTCAGACACACGGTCTGTCCCCCACAACTGGCCAACAGGTTGGTTGTCTTCTCTGTCAAAATATACAATTTTCATTAAGGCTTTTTAATAATCTCTTTTCATACTCTAAATGAAAATTTTACAAATATGAAATCTTTAGACCTAACCCAGAAATTATATAAAGTTTACGAAATTATAGAAACCTAAAATATGAGGACACTAAGCAAATTATCAAATTAACCACATAGTGTACAGGGGGGTCAATTCCTGCAAGCATCCAGTTCCTGAATATGTACAAAATTTATTTTTAGTATCACTATCCTTCAACGATAAAGTGTATTTACTCTTTAAACATATTTCAATATCTTATTTTGCAGTTTTCTTGTCATAAATTATCATTTTAACTGGAGAAATAAAGAACACTTCACAATAAATCACAATATTTTTTCAAACATAACAAAAAGTGTATACTAATTGTGTAATTGAACTAAGATGAATGTGTACTAAGATCACTTAAGTTCATGAATTGCTAATTAAGCAGATACTTTTACCGATCCATTTTATTTCAAACACTTACCAGGATCTTCAATGCTGGGTTCAAAAGCACACTTCCAGACTTTTGTCACCTCATCAGACGGGTCATTTCCCTCGGAGTGACATCGCAGGAAGTGAACAGGGTCATAGTCAGGTAAAGCAGGCTGAAATCAAATAGATCATTTCAAAGCCACTTTTAACATACATTTTCTATTTGCTACTTACTTATTTGTACTTCTTAAGATATCAAACAAAAGATAGTGTAGCTTGGGTCTTCTAAGGGGAGAACCCTCCGTTTACTAAAAATTCTAAAAAAAATTTTTGTTACGACAATTTACTATCAGATGGAGAAAAAAAAAATGAAATTCAAACGAATTTTGTATACCATTCATCACAAAATTTGAGAAAATTAAAGATATAAAGACAAACAGCGATTTAAACTTAGAGTTACCCCACTAATCAGAGGTTTACTGTTTGTTAACAAAAGTTTTGGCTCAAATCAAGATCCCCAAAAAATATTTAGCTCAGTTAGTTTGTGCATCAACAATGAAACCAGTCTCTAAAGTATGTTCAATACAAATACATCACAAATTAACTCAGGGTATTTATGTCCTTCACTTAAGCATAGAATAATGGGGTGGAAGACCTAAGGCCATTCCAAATTTTTTCTATGTTTAGCGTCCGCGTGCGCCTTGGTTTTTGACACCCCATGTCAGAAAAAAAAAACAAGAATTGGAGTCGTGAAATTAATCATTCTGGTCAAAATCTTTGAATTCTGTCAATTTTACTCTATATATGTTTAGAAAATGTAGTGTGAGGTATCTTATAACTATTAAATACTTTCATTTTACTAAGGAATTGAACTTTTTATGAGAAAAATAGGTTTATGAAATCAAATCGTTTAACAAATGGCGTCATTTTTAGGACTATAAAATCTGTGTTTTATTTTTTGGGCTTGATTGTTTTTTGTGAATAGGTAGGTAGGTTTTTGAAATATGGGTGGACGCTAAACAGAGAAAAAACTTGGAATGGCCTAAACCAGTTTGTAACAGACCTTCAACCCCTTCACCTCCAAATCAACAGGGGTTGTATTTTAGTTTCTGCATTGTTAATCAGAAACCATTTCATACCATATATATGAACTTGTGACCTTGACCTTTCATCTTTTGGCCTTAAAATCATTGAGAGTCATCACCTCAGGTTTCAATGCAAAAACACTTTCTGACCTTGACCTTTGACCTTATATTCACTAGGGGTCTCTTTATGTCAAAAGAATTTATGTCTAAATTCCACTACAAAGCCTAAAGGACTTTTGGAGATATCATACAGGAACTAATAGAATGACGAATGGACAGATCCAAATTAACATCCCCCTCTTTTATCAAACAAAGGGGAAAAAATGCAACTGTCACTCTTGTCAGCTTCTATTAAGCAACATAAATCATACCTTAAATTAATATAATGAAAGATTGTAATCTAATTTAAAAATGCCAAGAACAGAACTTAAGTCAGATAAACTTCTTTTAAAAATTAGATTTGTGAAATAATAATTATTGAGTATCATTATGGCAAAGAAAAATTTACCAAAGACATCATGTTGTGCTCAACAACTGGGTTCTTCCTGGTCATCCATGTCAGTGGGGAGTACTTCCTGTCTCGTTTTGATTTCTGTACACCAGATTCCTCATCACTGTCTCGTCGCCTCTTCCGTTTGTTTGGGGTACTGATGGGGGATATCGGAGATTCAGGCATCTTCAGGGTGGGGGAGTCCAGTACTGAGGTCATACTCCTTCTGTTCCTTTTTGGTGTGGTAGATGTTGAACCTATAGTTATATAAATTATTTTACACTGAGATTTCACCAGAAGTTTCTAATGAGAGTGTAGCTCTACTGATTTGTACTTATAATGAAGGAAGAGAAAAGTAGCACTTGGACTTAAAAGTATGGCAAAAGCAATAAATAGAATAATGATCCTTGGTTTGTGGCAAGTTTAATTGCAAATGAACTAAAACTCAAAGAGGAGTAGTCTTTTGAAAGAATTTCACAGAAATTTCTATTTTAAGTAACCTGTCAAGTTATGTGACAAAATTAAAAACCGATAAAAAGAATTACAATGTATGTACCTTAGTGTGGTCTTCTTGTGAAGCAAGTTTTATTGAAATTGGAACAAAACTGTAGGAGTAGCATTTTGAAAGAAATTCTACTTAAGTAACCATGGCAATGTTTTTTATCAGAATTAAAGACAGGCATCTAGGACTATGTAACTTAGTGTAGTTTCTGTTTTTTAGTAATTATGGCCACAATGTTCATCAAAATCAAAAACTAATAAACAAAACTATGTTTATTTGAGTAGTCTACTTGTGCAGAAAGTTTTATTGAAATTACACCAACTGTACTGTAGGAGGAGTAGTGTGTTGATAGAATTTCAAAGAAATTTATATTTTTAAAAATCCTGGCAACACCGTTCATCTAAATGACAAAGGAAAGTACAGATTTATGAAATTTAGCATAGTCTACCTGTATACCAAGTAATACTGAAATCGGACCAAAACTGTTGGAGGAGTCGCATTTTGACAAAAAAGATTACAGTCAAACAGAAGGTGATGGACAGACTCCTAACTATTACGTGAGCTCTTCTGGTCTCTGACACATAGAGCTCAAAACTAACAGTGATGCTTAAAAGTTTGCATTATTGAAAATAAAAACATCAACACTCGGTCTAAAAGTATTAGGAAATAATTAATTTCTTTCTTAGTAAATGAAAACTATTTCATACTCTACAAGTAGATGTTAAGATAAATAAAATTCCTACTTGGAGTTTTGGGTGTGTTGCAGCTGAGTTTTCTGGATAATCGGACACTTCTTGGTGTTCCTGGGGCCTGTTGATGGGTGGAGAAGAGTTCTCCTGACCTAGCATCTTCAGCTATCTCCTTCGCAAGCTTATCAATCTAAATGAAAGAGAAAAAACACTTTAATTTGATTCCCAGAATCCAACAATCGTGTAAAATGTCCTATCACTATCTGGAATATTTTATATAAACAATGGGTACAAATATGATGCATTTTTATAATTTTCCTAATTTCCTACAGCAATTTTTTTTTTACTTTCAAAGACAGATTTATATGTCAAAAATATTATTAAGGCCTAACTATACAGGTTTACCCCTTTAAACTCAGGGCAATCAAACTGTGAGAATCTGGCTGGAAAAAAAAGATGCATGATGAATTGAAATAAAATTAAAACACAGTTCGAGTTTCTTACAACAATTTTCTCAGCCTCTGAGTTGGCACTTGAGAACAGTGAGTCTGCTCGGATGACATCCTGGAATTCTGTCACTGCCTGCAGAAACTGGTCCTCAGACATCTCCTCAGTAAATCTGTCCTCAAAAAGCACCTCAAACTTCGCTTGCACCTGAGTAAAAAGAGGTAGATTTTTAAAAGGCATAAACAGTGTAAGAAATTTTTCTTTTATAAAAACAAAACCCAAGATAATTCAATGAAAATTTAATATATGAATATTCTAAAACCTGAGAAATGATTATCTTAACATATGTATACCTACTTGTTAATTCTTGTTTTTTTTTTGGACCATTTATAGCTTATGTTATCAGAAATGGTTACAAAATAAATCTTTTCCCCATATATTTAAGAGATTTCATTTGAATTTTAAAAGGATACAAGAAACTCTCTTTTAAACACAAATATACATGTTTCGACAAAATGTTGATCACATAAATTCTTTCAAAATATTACAATCATGTTAATGTTTAAGACACTTGATGGTACCTGAGGCAGCCATTTCTCCCTGAAGTTTTGGATCTGTCTGTGAATGTAGTCGACATTGTGTTTATCAATCTTCATTAGGCTGGGGCATTTAAGGACTGCTTCAATCATGTGGTTGTCCTTAAATCAAAGATAAGCTTTTTAAACAATTTCTAAAATATGCCTTCATATTAACCTTTGAAATATTACAATTCCTAACACTTGTTTTTCATGTGACATTTCATGTTCATACCATGGCATTTCCACTATGCTATTGAAATTATTTCACAATTATGGCAATTCATAAAATTCATATATGATCTGAAAGATAAATGTTTCTGGGTGAACTTCATCATGTTCATTATTAACCATAATTACCCAATTATTAACCAGACGTATCTAGTGAGACTAAAGCTCTACTGGTTGTACTTATTAAATAGAAGAAAAAAGTAGCATCTGGACTAGGAAAAATTGTTGCATTTTAAAATCAGGAGTCCCATTGGCCACAACGCTCACCTGAGTCACTTTGGCCCTGATGTTCTGCAACAGATCCCCCCCCCCCCAATATATGTTTCCTGTGGCCCCATCCTATACACAGGGGCCGAGATTTGAATACAAGAGGCCCATAGGCCACATCGCTCACCTGAGCAATGCTCAGTAAGCACATTGGCTTGGAAGAAGCACAAATCAGTTCAGTACTGAAAAGTTTACATGGGGGTGGGAACTTGAATTTTAAACTTCCTGAGGATTCTGTTTATCAGTATAACAAATGACTTTGCAATTCTTGAGCAGAAGATTTTTTCCTATATTCCTTTGTAAAAATTTCTTCCCCCATTGTGGCCCATCCCTATCCCTGGGGGTCATCATTTATACAAACTTTAATCTACACTACCTGAGGATGCTTCCATATCAGTTAGACTTAACATGGCTTTGCCCTTAATGAGAAGAAGATTTTTTCCTATACAATCCAATGTAAACCTTATTCCCCACACATCATTTGAACTTTGAATCTACACTATCTGAGTATGCTTCCATATCAAAATGATTAACAATGGCTTTGTTGTTCTTGAGAAAAGGATTTTTTTTCCTATATATTCCAATGTAAAACATTGTGGCTCCACCCTGCCCCAGGGGTCTTGATTTTAACAAACTTGAATCTACACTCCATGAGGATACTTCCATGTGACTGATCACAGCTTTGTTGAAGATTTTTAAAAAAATTTCCTATATATTCCTATGTAAAATTTTGATCCCCTATTGTGGACCCACCCTACCTCTAGGGAGTAATGATTTGAACAAACTTGAATCTACACTATGTAATGAAGGTTTCACGTAAGTTTAAACTTTTCTGGCCTAATGGTTCTTATGAAGAAGATTTTTGAAAGATAATACTAAATTTTCACTAATTCTTATCTCCCCTTGAAAGAGGGCATGGTCCTTTATTTGAACAAACTTCTAAAAATCCCCTTGACTCAAGGCTGCTTTGTGGCAAGTTTGGTCAAAATTGGCCCAGTAGTTCTTGAGAAGAAGTTGAAAATGTGAAAAGTTTACAGACAGACAGACGCCAGACAAAATGTGATCAGAAAAGCTCACTTGAGCTTTCAGCTCAGTTTTTACAGGTTCTACACTTTCTCAGGAAGCTTCCAACTAAGTTTCAGCTTTTCTGGCCCAGTGATTCTTGTGAAGAAGATTTTTTTAATGACCACACCCTTTTTTTGCCTTTTTTTTATAATCCCCCTTTGGAATGGGACTTGGCTCTTCATTTTAACAATTTAGAATCCCCTTTACCCAGGGATGCTTTGTATCAAATTTGGTTAAATTTATCCCAGTGGTTCTTGACTCTTGTCTGTGAAAAGTTTACAGACATACGGACAGACAGACGACAACAGGTGATAAGAAAAGATCACTTGAGTTTTCAGCTCAGTTGAGCTAAAAACTGTAGGATGTAGTTTCAAAATATTGCGAAAACATGAGTAATACCTCTGCTTTTGTTTTTCAAAAATAATGTTACTTGACCTCAAAGGTTATCCTACAACATGTACAAAAATGCATACTTTATTTCTTAAACAGAAGTAATAGTTTACAACACTTATTTTCCATGTGATTTTGAAACTAGTCAAAACTGTATGTCGAAATTTGAGAAAAATTTAATTTATAAACCACTGCAAAATTCTTCCAGGGATTTATCAACCTATTTTTTTTTTTGAAATGTCATCTTTGGGGAATTGGGAAAAATTATCAGCTATTTGATGAAATTGGGAAAAATAAGGAATGTTGCTTACATCATGTATTCAGGTGTAATTCATTTAACATTTTAGCATGAACTCTAATTGGGCAACCAAACAGACAATTAAATATGCATGATCCAACATCATACAAGATCAATTATGAACAAGCATTCTGAGAGTATTGCATTAGCAATACTAGTCCCCTACTGGCAAATGTAATCTGGTTCCCATTAAAAATTAAAAATGACATAACTCTGTCAAAAATCAATGAAGAGGAACGAAATGCAAACTTGATCTATAACTCATCAAGGTAAAGTCACATACCGAAAATCAGCTCAATATCTGCATGCGTTTTAAAAAAAATGCGGAAAACTTTGAAAAATTGAAAAGGTCTAAATTCTGTCAAAAATCAATGAAGTGGAATGAAATGCAAACTTGACCTGTAATTCATTAAGATACACTCACATACAAAAAATCAGCTCAATATCTGCAAGCATTTAGAAAGAAAGTGCGGAAAACCAAGTGGGACAGACTGACAGACGAACATACAGCTAGAGAGACAGACAGACTCGGAGGAAACCTATAGTCCCCTCTGGTTTCACCGGCAGGGGACTAATAATAGACTAATAAAAGTAAATTTGACTTCAATGAGTATAAAGTATTTGTACAACTAAGGTTAGTACATGTTTGTATGAGATTCCAATTTAGGTCATTAGAATCTGTTTCTGCATGGAGATTATAAACCTCCTGCAAAAAGCTAGTTCTACACATTTTCTCAAAAATTCCCTTTTCATATATGTAAAAAATGCATTGAAAATATATTTTTCTATCTGAAATAATGCCTACAGTTCTTACCATTCACTCATAGATGAATTGAGTAGATGGAAATAACTCAATAAATCTATGTAATTACAAAATATCACGTTTTCAGAAAAAAAACAGAGGAAATTTGGATTAAAAGTTGGCAATGTTTTCAGTGTGTTTTAAACATGTGTTATGACCGTAGCTTTGCTAAATGAGTCAAATAGAGGAAAATTACAGACAATCTGACAATTTTACTTTGTGTTTTTCCAAGATAATTAAATATAAAAGCATTGTTCACCAACTGGGAAAAAAACTGTCAAATTGGGAAAAGCTAAACACATTTTCAATTGGGAATAGGCCCGAATTTCCATCCCTGAGAAGGTACTGATAAATCCCTGTCTTCATCAAAATATCAATATGTACAGTGCTGTATTATACCTGTGTTTCAAGTTCTAAATCACAGCACATCTATATGAGGAACAGCATTTTAAATTTCATAGAAATTCCTATTTCAGAACCATGGCAAAACCATTTACAGAAATCAGAAACAATTTACACAATTATGAATCTTGTTGTGGGCCAAGTTTGATAGAAATCTGAAAACTGTAGGTAGAGAAGTATATGTATTTTGAAATTTTTGTATGACCATGCCAACACAGTTCACTGAAAACAAAAAAGGATATTACCTTTTTACAATAATTAATATTTTTAAGTCAATATGCTGAATAAGCTATCCGAAAGAATTCAAAACCAAAAGTCCAAAGGGGGACCTGAATGGTTTAGTAACCTTTGCATCACTGCTGCTTAAAATTAAAAATGAACTTCAGAATTATGCATCTCAGAAAAGTTCACTTTTACACCAAGTTCGATTGCAATCATATCAAACTGTAGTAGTAGTAGTGTTTTTAAAGTTATGAAAGATGCCATAGAAAATTCCATTTTTTTTTCTGTAACCAGGGCAACAGCAATTGTCAAAATCAAAACCCAACAAAGAAATTATGTACCGGTATCTAAGTGTAGTTGTGTACCAAGTTTAATTGCTGTCGGAGAAGTAGCATTTTGAAATCGCAGGTGAGTTAAGGCAAGGTACATGTATAGGCATTTCTATGCAAATAATCTAATTAAAATGCCTAAGGACTATATCTATTATACAAAGAAAGTTAACACTTACTGTCTAAAACATACTTGGTACCCACAACATGAGACAGCCAGTATTCATTATGACGTCATATCATGACAAGTCATTGTTACACAAGATTATTATGGACATCGAAAAAATGCTTCGGCGCAAGGGAATGCTCTATTTTATTTAACTAAAACAAGGTATATTTAGAAGCAAAATATTCCAAAGTGTGCTGGTATTGCAGCACAAATATCAACAGTTCAGTTGTATAATTTCTGTTTTTAAAGTTTTAAGTTGAATAAGGGTAAAAATTTACAGTCCAGTATAAGTTTTCTCAAATTCCGATCAAATGAGAAAATGCCAAGGTTTTGTGCAGCAGTTTTATTAATCTTAAGAATATTTATTTTTTTGCATTATGCAATTTTTATGTAAAAATTAATAGGGTAATCCCTTGCGCCGAAGCTCTTTTGTTGATGGGTTTTATTATCTCCAGTGAGTTAGATCAGTGACGTCATAATATGACGTCATAATGTGCACTGGGTTTAACATATCATGGGTACTAAGTACGCATAAGAAAATAAATCAAAACTTTCTCTGAATAATAAATATACCTCTTATGCGTTTTTATTAGCTCATTTGCATAGAAACGCCTATACCAAGCCTTAACTCGCATGCGATACTGTTTACAGACAAGCAGAGAGATGACAGACACCTTACCTCACATCAGCTTATCTGGACCAGTAGAGCTAAAAAGAATACACACCAGTACTTCATAAGCCCTTAATTCTAACATGGTTTATGGCTGTCTTACCTGAATGTTTGGGTTTCCTTCCAACATTAGATGCCTGAGACTTGGGAGATTTCTGACAAAGTCCACAGACTTAATGTTGTTTTCTGAGATATCCAAGGTCTCCAGGGTCTTCAAGGTCACATCTGGAAAGGTTGTCAGGTTGTTGCATGAAAGGTCAAGGACTTTGAGGGTTTTCATGTGCTTAAGAACATCAGTAGGAAGTTCTTCTAGTCCATAGTCAGATAACCTAAATTAAATACATGGAAATGTCTTTGATAAATCCAAGTCCTGCTTTAAAGGTACAGCTAGGCAACCATTTTTACACAGTTATGACAAAGTGGACAAATTCCCAACTTTTTATAAGCTGAACTTAACTTTCTCCCAGGTATTACTCATTTAATCATTCTCCCAAGTACTGCAATAATAGAGCAACTAATAGTAATTTATTAAATTTGAATAGACAATAACATTTAGAACTTAGTATATAAATTTGGCTTTAATTGCATTTCTGTTCCTTAGCAAGAAATTTTTATTTAAAGACATAACCTATATTTAACATGATCATATTAATTTGTCAAAACTTGAAAACAATGCACTTGACACATAGCTGGAATTGTAAATTTCTTGTGTAACACATGGAACAAACAGGGTTTTCACTGGGATAACTTGAAAAATATAGCAGAATCCCGCAAAATATGCATTCTAAAAAAAAATTGAAAATGAAGGTCAATGTCACAGAAAGATCAAGAACAGACATTCTGACACAATTGAATATCTCTCACCTGTATGTATCAGTGAATGCATGAATTTTGATAAGAATACGTTGAACAACAGTTTGCAGTATAACAGTGATCTACAAATGTTTTTTTGTACAAAAGTGTACAACCTTGAAATTCTTCACAAGCTCTTTTGAATAAAAATTGATTACTGTATTTTTTATATCCTTGATGCCATTGGCAAATTCCTTCCCAAGTAGCAATCAATCAATCCAAAGAGTCTACTCTATATGACATTGCTCGCATATTTACATGACCAATGCTGTTTCTGAGAAGTTAACTTTTCCTCCTTATTTTGAAAGAACTAACTTATTGTCATATCCGAAAACCTCTTTTTGAACATTTCTTTATGGAAATCTATTTTTTAAATTGAAATAGTTCAGATTTTGTTTTTAGGTCAGAGTGTCTGTTAATCATTAATTAAAATGATTTTGAAATATGAGTGCTACATTTGTCTCACTTTTAAGGACCTAATCATTTTTAGCATACAACTAGATACCATTGAGATGGTGATCCTCTCAATGAGACCTGCTTTTAGTAAAGTAAAGGACAATAAGATGAGAGGGATTTGTAAAGGACTGTATTCAGAACTCAAAAAAAGTTTTTGTATAATTGTTTACCATTTGACACAGATTTCTGCTCTGACACTGTACACACTTCACTCACAAGCACTCTGGTTGAAGGTGGAATCAAATTGGACAAATTGTGAGAGAAAATATAATATTTTATACAGATACCTGCATTGACCTTGACCTTTGCCTTACATCTTAACCCATGGGTACTCTTTGGGTGAATTAAGCCAGATGAAGCATAGAGGAGAGAAAATATGCTCCAGACAAGTATTTCTCACAAACATCTACTTTGACCTTGACCTCTAATATAGAAACTTAGTTAAATGTTGCTGCACACCACACTATAATAAAGTTTGTGCCACATTGGACTGAGAAGACAGACCTGTCAAAAACTGTCGGTCCTGTTGGCAAGGCCATCAAAAATAATTGAAAAAATTGAGTGTGACGCAAAATTTAAAAAGATTGGGATCAGGTGAGCAGGTGAATGTCACAAAAGCATTTGAGATGGCTGCTTGGTGACAATTGTCGATTTGTACGTCTATGGTTTCAGTTAGGGACCTACATACATCTGTTAATACTTCCCTGTTACAGCAAAGACATAAAACATGTCATTTATGTCTCTGATTAAAGAATCTATCCTAACTCCTAAGAAAAGAAACTTGTGAGATTGAAGGCTGTTGAAAATAATAAAGGGCATTTTGCTGCATTTTGTTGCATTTATTTATTTTTCCTTTCTCAGCGTCAAAATAAGGTACATGTATCTGGTCTGGCAAAATTTCGTCTGGTCCTACAGAAAATTTGATTTTGTCAGACCAAATGTCTTACAGTGATTTTAAAATTTGGAAGTCTTAGGGGAGTGAAAAAATGTAACAAAACCATGACTTTTTTTAACTAAATAAAAGAAAAAGAACAATTATTCCAATTATGAAATGAAAGTTGATATTTACTAGAAATTCTAGCAAGAGATTCCGAATGTAAACAAGAGGCCCAAGGGCCTTAACAGTCACCTGAGTATAAAAGTGGCAGCTCCAGGGTTCTGGAAAAGGGGGCAACCAGTTGGGGTCGGGGTGGGGTCACATACTATCTTTCCGTCTCTTAATGATAGCAGCTATGTACATTTGAAAACAGAAAAACATGGACGAGTCATACTTCTGAGTACAATTTTTTCAAAGATCTGTTTGTTCAGTTTAACTTTCCTGCAATTTTCAATCCAAGTACATGGAATAAAAAATGGCCATCTAATATATCACATTAATCTTAAAATTAAGCTGGAGCAAAAGTTTGGGACAAAACAAAACATGGTCATTCAGTAATTGCTGAATGACCATGTTTTGTACGTATATACCCGGTAAAGCATGATAATTAAGATAATTGAATGACAATTCATTCAATTATCTTAATTATCATGCTTTACTTAAATTCAAATAAGCAGCTAATAACCTGTATTTATTGTTAAAAAGCTGTTATAATAGATGCATGTTTTATCAATCAAAACACATGGGTCATGGCTTTTGATTACCCGTGTGTAACGTTACCATGTGTATTTGTTACCTGCATTAGCATTATGCGTACTAGTTTTTATGGAAATCTTGGTTTTAAAAAATAACTATCGAACTTGCTGAAGATATGGAAAGATATTATTACGTCTACCAACATTAATACATTTATTAGAGTCCATTGTTGTTGTTTTTTTGCTGTGATGTGTTATACCTTCGGAAAGATGTGTACACATGCACTCATCGTAAAAGCATAAAGGAAAGTCATTTGACGTTAATGGTCAAAAAATTTAATAGCCGATTTTGTTTTGATCAATCATCAATTAACTACTAAATTTAATCATTTTATATAAACCTACTCTGTTGTTTGTGAATTGAATACATAACGCTGATAAATGTCGTTCTAGCTATATTATGGATTACACGTATAAAGACAAGGGAGGTAACTTTTATTATATACCGATTCCGCGAATTCAACAAACCGTGATCGTGTCCAAGGAGAGAAAAACGTGAAAATTACAACCAGTGAAATTAATCCCCTATACAGTAATACAACAATTTAGAGGACCCATAGAGTATAAAATAAACTGATAGATGAAGCTTTATTGCCCAAAAGCAAGAGAAATAGGATGATCAGGATCAATGAAAAAATTAGTCTAGTATTCAGTAAGTATTATTTAGAGAACGAGATAGGTTCTGTATCCGAGATACAAATTTGGGGATGGACGAGTGCGTAGCACAAGTCTCCACCCCCAAATTTGTATCTACAATACAGAACCTGTCGAGTTCTCTAAATGATTTGTGACACAATCAATTAAAAAAAAAGCACCGCCCACTTTAAAGCTGTGCAGCATCCAAACTTCCGCCAGAGTTCATTCGTGAGGCCTCGACGGGGACTATATATCCGCGGTATATATATTTCCACGGACAACGTAAGATTTAGTCAGATTTGTTTTGACAACGGGGTAGTCGTAACAGACTTGAAGTCAGTCTTAATTGATAAGGTGGACGATTTAACCTTGTTGTAGATGAAGATTGATCCTAATTTCAGGGGTCTTAAAATCTCATTTTAAATAGATACACAACCAGGCGATACAGACAGTGTTTTGATGGACTTTGATGTTACAGATTTTTATTTTTTTGTTGAAATGCAACATTAAAAACGAAGTGAAAGAGATGTGGGCAGTCATCAGCGATAAGGATTTAAGATGAAATTTAAAAAAAAACCTTGAAAAATGGACTTGCGTTTTCACGAGACGAGTGTAAAATGGGGGGAGGGGGAGTACAAATTTCACGTAATGTGTGCTGCATCTGTGAACCCATTGGCTTTACTATTTTGAAGGGGACACAAAAAGCAGCGAAAGCAAACAGATTTTTAGGAATTTATCCAATGTAGAATGTTTTCCATAACTGCGAGTTTTTTCTTTTCGTCTGGCCCGGATCGAAATAATGTGAAGATTCTGTGTGGAATAATTTTTTTCAAAAGTGATTGAGAAATTCTGACATTTTACATTCCTAAGGAAATATTTCTCCAAAATTTATAATAGGAAAAAAATCAGCATTTACTATTTGTACGTGTTTTTGATAAATTGAATCATAATTATTTTTAGACCGTGCTGTATTTTAGATACAGAACAGTTGGCTAATACAAGACAGTATACAGGGCTAATACAGAACGGAAAGTAGCTCCGCCCACTGCATTCCCGTTCTGTATTGCTAATACAGAACAGCAAACTTCAAAGAAAAACACCGCTATCGTGTCACAACAACTTCTCATCTGTCCCTAATTTATCACTATCACCATCCAGACTATTAACAAACTATTAGTGCTTCTGTACTATTTTAAACCCCATGTCATAACCTTTCACATTGGCCACTCTTGGTCTTTGAAGAACAATTAATAAGTAATTTTTGTCTCAATTTTATTTATCAGTCCATCTGATCATCAGATCAGAAGGTTCCTTTTTTTATTGCGTACTAGAAACCCCTATTTTTCTTTTATTCTTGCTATAGTGACACTGGAAATTGTGTTTTAAGTGTTATTTACTGTGCTTGATTAATGCAAATAAAACATCACGACATGTCAATCATAACCAGGCTTCTCCACATTTGAAAATTTAACCATGGAGGAAGCTGTGTAAAAGCAAAATGTGATTGAAAGCACGAACCCATGTTAGACTCTGTATTTAGCTTCATTAATCAATGATTGATCTCACAAAACTTAACCCCTGCAAAACCAGGGTTGGTCGGGAAATACCAGTGTGGGAATTACCAGAGGTAAATACCGGTATTTCCCGTCCCGGGAAATACTACAAATTTTCTCTAAACTGGGAAATACTTGGAAATGTAAAGTTAAAAGTTTTTTATTGCTTTAATTCATTCAATCTTATACAAAATTCAAAA